TGAGAGTAGTAACACATTCCATAAAATTTTGATGTGGGAATTGCCCACTGGCACCGGTTAATTTAAGACAAATATTGCCCAAAGTTAAATGTTCAAATGTCGGCCAGACAAGTTCCAAACTGTAATTGCAAATATACTTCGTTCCAAATGGTTCCAACAATTCTAACCCCCTTCTTGCTACTACTCAATAATTTTAACTGATGCATGTAAGAAGAAGAATAATGCATGCTAGTTCTGTAGTATACGTGACATGTGTCACTGAAACAGAAATTGACCAGTCTTGATTATCTTGAAAAAAACGCGGAATAGGACAAAATACGGAAAGTATTAAACATACTTTATTAGTGCCTAGAAATTGTTTATTATATTTAGGGAGTGAATATTTAGTAAAATAAGCAAAATATCTAAGGACCGATGTAGATCTTCAAGTTGGTATATTCTAGAGCAGTGGTATTCAACCTTTTTTGTTCGCGTACCCCCAGATATAATTTCTCTTCAACTTTGTACCCCCAAAGTTGTTGGTGTATAATTTAAGTTATACATAGTATATAATCTACATCTAAAATAAATTAAATAAATTACATTACTGATTATTCAGTGTTTATCATAAAATAATATATATTTTTAAATTTCACGTACCCCCTAAGATGTCTTCGCTACCCCCGGTTGAATACAACTGTTCTAGAGGATTAAACTTGTGAAATGAGGCTCTTTGAGGACATTTTCTGAGGGAATATTATGACCAGTGATAAAGTAAATACTAGCAGGACGAATAAATGAATAAAACACGGAACTTCTTTTCGCCATATTAAATGTATTAGAGTCAGTGGTCAGAGGAATTAGCCACAGGAACAAATTTATCATCAGTGACCGAAGGTTGTGGGTAGAGTAAATTTCCAGCGTTTCAAATACTGTCTTTGCCTCTGTCATCAGAGACTGATGTTAAGTAGCAAACTGCATTGTCACATGTCTGACGCACGAGAAGGCTTAATTGAATACGCACTACGTACGGGTTACAGTGAATAAGAAACACTTGTATCGTTATGGCCTTTTTAACTTGAGCGCAACTTCCACGGAATATTAAAGGAGTAGAGGGTAATGGCACAGATGCTTTTTAAGGTCTGAAATAATGTGATGATTTGGTACAAAAGGTGTTTTTATCCCTTAGCCCACCACGTGGCGGCAGCTATGTGGTTCGTGTTATTGGATGTCTGCGGGCGTTCTAACGACAACGGAGCCCCAATAACTAGGAAACAGATGTGGCGGATGGGTTCCGGGTAAACCAATAAGCGGTCGAAACTTCCTGCCCCTGTCATAAGAGTTTCGGTACACGCCGTTTCGCCACGAACCTGCTCTCGCAGCATTTTAGTGAAAGAAAGCTCCATTTAAGGCTGCAAAACTATCAGGAAAATCAATTGAATAAAAATTTACTTGGATATTATCCATCGTCTAGTAAATATAAAACGTAAAACGACGTTTCGGAGATGGGACTCTATCTCCGTCTTCAGGTTCCTACAAAGTTGGGCCCACTAGATAGAGGTAATCCCTATCTCCGGAACCTGAAGACGGAGATAGAGTCCCATCTCCGAAACGTCGTTTTACGTTTTATATTTACTAGACGATAGATAATATCCAAGTAAATTTCTATTCAATTGTCTCTTCACCATCGTCAAGAAGTTTTAGATTTGATATCAGAAAAATCCCTTTCTCTTTGTAGAAGCAACTTCCATTCGTATTTTTTTTTAGGAAAACTTCATTATAAGGACAATTATACAACAGCAGCCAAAGCGTAAGACCGAGGAGTAATCTAGTTTGCGTATTGCAGACCTACCAGCTAGAAAGGAAAAACGCAGTTTGTTAATTGATTAAAAGAATTACAAAGTCTTGCTTCAAAACAAATATTTTCTGGAAAAATTCGTTTGTAAACTAAAAAAAATCAAGTGCTGACTTCCGGCATGTCAGTAACACAGTAGCAGAGCTTGTTTGATAATTTTATCAAAATATCCTGTAAAATTAATTTGTAAATCCCTTTTGGACACAGCCCGTCCGCATTCACACTGCACGCCTACGACACAAACGTATCATCTTCCCGTCTACCATTTTCATCACTTCTTTCTATATATGACGATTTTGAACAAGAAGTTCATTTTCTTGATATGAACAAAAGAGTTAAAATATTACGTTTTATGTCGATATTATTTAGCTTACGTGTTTCTTCCACAAAACAGAAGGAATTTCCTTACGAACACGACTTATTTCATCAGATTAATATTTTGCATAGTAAAACAGGAAATTAGGATTGAGGGAAACAAGATCTTGGTGACGCATTGGATTAAAAAGTCGCCCATAAAGTCCCAGTGGAAAACAAACACAATTTTTCGGACTCGTCATCCACGACGGGAAATTAGTGGCCCTCAGACCCCAAACATGTGGCTCGTCGGGTCATTACAAGGATTCTGCTGCAGAAATTGCAGGAGACAACGCCTGTAGTTTATTGCAAGTTCCAAACAGATGGCGCCTTGAAAAGCAGGAAAGAAAAAACAATAAGTGAAAATTGAGGGTTTCCTGATGTTCACCGTTACCTCCTACATCACCACGTCTTACACTGTCTTCTTTCAACTCCGTTGTCCTCTTGCAGGAACGTACTCAATCTACCAAACGTTGTTTATTCTTTTCGTGAATTTTCCGCTTAGGAGCACGTGTACAAAGCACTCAAGATCTCTGCAATCATTTGTCAATTTTCTGGCGCGTACTTCATTCGACACGTTTCCTGAACAGATAATCAAATCATACAATTAAATTTACATTACGTGCTTAACCGTCCCGTAAGAATCTCAACGCCTGAAACTGAAAATCAGACATACGAGGTGCGATCGGAAAGTTTCAAGACTGTGTCAATAGCGGGCGTACCGGATGTAGTACGAGCTTCTGCCGCTAGGGGGTGCGGCCTACATTCATAGTGAATCAGTGTGCCAGCCGGCATCATCGAATTAGCATTTGTTTCTTAGTTACGGGCGTTTTGGTAGTGCATTACACCGACCCTCCTGCGATTTCGGAATGGCGCGTGTGCATCAAATTTTGCCAAAGACTCGCCAAAACCGCTACGGAAACCTATGAAATGCTAAAGCAAGCATTTGGGGAAATACTTCGAAATGGGTCGTGCACAAACTTTTGTGAGGCATTCGACTTGTGCGACATTGTTGGGATAGGCTATGGGACCTGTCAGCTGATTCTAAAGGAAGAACTCCACATGCGACGCATCATGACATAAGAACGGCCGTACGTACCCCGGAAAATCACAGAAATTTAACAGGCCTACTCCCATTTTGGACATTTTAGTGATTCACACCCACTCTTCTAAGCTAAGTCATGATATTATTTGAAACAGTTGACGTGTCCGAAATATCACACGATAGTTTCTTTATCGTATTATCACCTACACATATTTTGAGTGCGAAACACGAAGTTGAAATTATTTCCGGTGCTTAAACAAGCATCACGCCATGCAGATGTATGGGACAGTCGCGATATGGCTCCATCTTAACATCATTATTAGTTAGTGGTCAGTTTAACGCCCCAGCCGTCTTATCCCCAAAGGAACCCCTGCACTCAATTGACAGGAGACTGGGTGTGCCTCAGAATCGGTCTGAGAAAAAAATTCTGCCTCAACTAGATTCAAACCCCGGTCATCCGACCCGTACCCCAGTCACTGTACTGATTGATGTGTGTCTGCTCCTGAGAAAGAACATTACAATTTAGTCTAAATCCGGCGATGACACCAAGAGATCTCGGGTATAACTTGCTACATAAACCTATTTAGCTGAGCTAAATATTTTCCCAGTGAAAGTTGTCGAAAGAAATTAAAGTTTGTTCAGTTCACCCTCGCCGTTCGCTGGAATTGCGTTCTTGAAAATCCCCGCGAACAGGTAAAACAGCGATGCATAAATTTCAGACCGCGTCGGAAAATGAAAAACACGAAACACTACACTGGATCTAATATGTAATCAACGATTTGTAACCATGAAAATGTGTGTTCATTGAAATGACGTAGGCGTTCCTGACTGACAGCTGTCAGGGTGGTCGAACACAAGTGCAACAAGTCTGATTTCTAAGAACCTGAAGATTAAAGTATACAAAACAATAATTCTGCCTGTTGTTTTGTATGGGTGCGAAACATGGTCTCTCACTCAGAGCGAGGAACTCAGATTGCAGGTGTTTGAGAATTGGGTGTTGAGGAGGATATTTGGGCCTAGGAGAGAAGACGATGGGGTATGGCGAAAAATACGTAATGACGATGGAAAGAGGTGTGCACCGGGTATTGGTCGGGAAGCCTGAGGGGAAGAGACCGCTGGGGAGACCTAGACGTAGATGGGAAGATAATCTCAGGCGGGATCTATGTGAGATAGGAGTTGAAGGAGACTGGGTCCGGTGGAGGGCTTTGGTTAATTCGGTGATGAACCTTCGGGTTCGGTAAGCCATCTAGTTAGTTAGTTAGTTTAACAAAATAGAAAAGTAACATAAACGAAGCTGTTGGTCCACTTATTTTGAAACTGCAGTATGCAGGAAAATGGACTCAATATTTTACTCTTTTTGTATATTTTATTATACGTTAAACAATGCAATGACTGGACTGAATTTGTTTTATAGTTCTCTCTGCATTTTAAAGTGATCAAATGCCAATTTAATCCAGTCATGAGGTTGAACGAGCGTACTAAAAGTCACATCATGAAGGTTAATAATAATTTACGTACTTTATTTACTGAGAATTCCAATAGGTTAAGGTGAAGGTTCATACTAAGCTTATAATTTTTACATTTCCATAAATGTACACAATTTTTCACCAACCCCAATCCACACAGTACCCATTTTTATCAGTACTTGGCACAGCAACCACCTTCACACTGCTGCCACGAGAATCTGAAGTCTCAACATATTTTACCACGCAGAATTCCTGTGACAGATTGGGATTTGGTAACTCACAAATATCAATAATAATTAGCAATTGTTTTGTGTATAAGTTATTATTTAACATCTATATAAGCACAAATCATTAATTTAAATAATACAATACTACAAGTTTTCTTCGGTGTTGTACTTATACACTAATCATGTGAATCCACAAGCACGTGGAAATAAAAATACTGCAACGCCGACACAGCTCAAACTCGTAAGAAATCAGAACGTCATCACCCCCTCCCACAACGGATTACGTATTTTCTTAGGCGTCTAAGGATGGAAAGCTCGTTTCTTCTGCATATCAACAAAGTCTTGTTGAAGGAATGTCATTTCGCTTTTACATTTTCGACACAAATACAATCCAGGAATCAAAATGAATACAAAGTTATTTATAAGCTCACGTGTTGATTAACCCTTTACATACCACGTTTTTACGAGTTTATCCTTTACTACTCTAGATTCCCTTATTACTGTATTTTTAATGCAAGCGTCTTATTTTTGTCTTATCTTATGACTATACAAGCGAAACTAATCGAAAAAGCTTGTAAACACCAATTTCAGGTTTCCAGTGCGGTTTGACAAGCCTGAAACGAAGAAGTGTGACTGTGCCACAGATATAATAAAATTCTTCCGGGGCTACCCGCCACATAAAGTGGCTTCCTCATCCTCACGGTGCTAGAAGTACCCCGAGGACGACGACGAAGACGGTTCTCGAAACGTTCATCAAACCACCTTACGCGGCTGGTAGCCCACAAAGAATTTCGCAGACTTAGTTGCCGCGAAAGCTTCAGATCAGACGTCTCCCACAGACATCAGTACGGAAACAAGCGCAGAGTACTAAAAGGGTTAATTTCCACAGTAATTTGCTATTTTCATCTCTTCACGACACGCTCAATTTCACGAAAAGCAATACACAAGCATCAAGTACGACTCGAGTCACGAGCCGATTTCGTAACCCGTAACTCTGATATTTTGGGGTCTGGAATCTGTCGAGTTTCGGTATATTTAGATACATGTTTATCACTTTCCAACACATTAACGACAATAGACAGAATGACATGCATCATATTGAACATATACTCAAATCCCTTTTCACGATAAAGATTATTTTAAAATACCTTTACGGTACCGTCACATTTAAAAGCAGACATAAAGCTACAAGTCGTAGAGAACCCCTGCAGATACTCGTCTTAATAGCGTTCACAATTCCAATTCCTTTCACAACGGCAAAATTCAATTATTGGCGCAGCGAACATCCGTCTTTTTATTATAACATCTTTGAATTTCGGTGCTACTCTACTATTTATTGAGGGAGAAACAAACTGAGAGCTTCACGACACGAACTCTACTAAAGCAGAACTCAAGCGGTGCAAAACGCGACAACTCACCATTTTTCATTACAGACACTCATTCTTGTATAAAGTAATAAATATAAATTAAACTTCAGAATGTATTTTACATGCCTACATTTCAATATTTAAGACTAACAGCACGAGTTGAGTAATTTGGAAATATATCTGGAATTTACGACTTCTCCGTCAACTGGTGCTCTTACATTACGCTGAATTTAAACTACTTTTTACTCCATCATCAGGACTGCGGCTACGTATCGCCGATATAGCCATCCCTCTGTCATACGCGTGGAACAATAAGAAGACGGCAGATTAAAGTTTCGATGTAAGACGACAGAACTTCGTCACTTCTTCTGGGATAAGTTCCGCTAAAGACTGGAGTGGTAGACGAGAGGCCTCCGAATACGTCATCTTACATTTCTTCTTCTGCCGCACTTCAACAGCTGCAGTTTTCAACTTCTTCACTGATTCCAGTATTAACTGTGCCTCGGGTTGAAGAGTTAACAGCCCATATTCTATCGCTAAATTTTGAAGAGTTTGGGAAACTTCTGCCAAAATAAAACACGGAGACAAAACTTACAGCAACAGCAAAACATTTCACATTAATCAAAATGGCAGATCGCCGCAATATCGGATGTCGATTCAAAGGGCAATGAAATTATTTCATTTCAGTTAAAAGTTCTAAATACTCACATGAATAGGAAACTTGAGACGTGGGTTCCCAACCCTTCAGACACATCTTCAGGGGGCAAACCTAAACGCGCACCGGGATCTCTCCGCAACTCGTCCGTCTGCCTTCGACCACAATAAACGCACATACTTGCGGCAAACCCTTCTTCAGTTCTTTCAACTGGAATTTTGCTACTTAATTGTGAAACATCAAAATATGCTTAATATCACATGAATTATATCCTAACAATTAAAATTACATTCGGAAAACTTATCAGAATTCTGTACTGAAAATCTTATATATAACAGATACAATATTCTAGTATACCGCTCAGAAATCGGCCGCTTACTTCAGAAAAATGGTTTGTCTTCCCTTTACATGAAACACCAGTTCAGTACAAATACTTAATTAGTAGGATTTATTTGAAGTGGCGGGTCCGAAGACGGACGTCCTGCGGGTGGTGGCGCCTCGTAGTCTGGTAGACGTTTACCGACATTTCAGAGGTCCCTGCTGCCACCATCAGCAAATACCTCCGTACCAGACTACGAGGCGCTACAACCCACAGGACAGCCACCTTCAAACACTTTACTTAAGACTTTCTGTCGTACTGTTTCATCGGTGCTGCCAGGTATTCAGATCATGCAGTTGCTTCTCATCATAGTGTATAACGTACTACGTGGCGGGAACCTT